AAAACTGTTATATGCAGGCAATGATTTTGTGTGTAATACGGAGATGCATTTCAGCAAAGGGGTTGGAGTTTTAGTGAATTACACATTTAAGACACAATAGTTCTGCATTAGCAGTGTAAGAAATTCCTATTGAATTACATATATTTGACAACTAGATACAAATATTGGTTTTCAATCTTTACTTATAATCTTAACTAAAACAGAGGGGGCCAGATATTTAGCTGGTATAAGTGGAACTGTACTGATTTATACCAGTTGAGGGATTGACCCCTAGTTTTTTAGGGGAATCTCTCATACATAATCTGTAAACTCTGTCATCTTAGTTTAATTATAATTAAAAATAGTATAATTAAAATATCTTCCTTTCAGTGTTCTGACAGTGAAAGAATTATGCAAATCTACCAAAACATAGTTAAGGAATTAAAAGGGACAATTAGCTCTACCCGTGTTAAAAAAAAAATTAGAATGCTACCTTAGGCAGTGAAGACAAGACTTTTTCAAAGACAGTTTGGCTGATATTTTTTTATAGATTCAAAGTAAAGTTTTATGGTAAAAAATGAATATAGCTTTGTTTGTTTCCTCAGTCATCATTAGCAATAGACATAAAGGTATTCTGTTTTTGAGCCCATATGGAAAGATCATCAACACTTTCTGCTTCTGGGTCCTTTGCCAAAATACCATATCCCACATGCCTTCTACCTTAAAACATAAAAGAATAGGTGTTGTTCTGGTCAAATAACAAAATAATTTTTACTAGCATACGTCTAATGTTAAAGCTGCCTAAATCCTGCCAAAGACATTAAAACACCATCTGTAAAACAGATTTTCATTAAACTGATCAGTTTAAAGTTAAGCAGCTAGGCAGATGATGCTTTTGAGCTAACCTTTAACCTTTAACCTGCTTAAACTGGAATTAGGTCACTCTCTTCTTTCGGGTAATACCCTTGCTGTTTCAGAACACGAGAGGTAAAGTGATCTATTCAAACTGAACTGACAATCATAGCATGAATAGTGTTATGAATCAATATTTCGTCAATAAAGAGAAAAGCAAAGTAGTTTCCACACAGCTGAGTATTTGTCTGCTAACTGCTGCTTGTCAAGTTCCCTTAAAATCTAAACAACTATACATGTGAAATAATGGGAGGTAAATATGCCATAAAATACATTTCTCAATGAAGATATTACCCAGTAATTAAACACAGACAATTTTGGAAGACTAGTTTTAGCATTTTCTTCTGAAATTACAAAGTCGTCTGGCTAGCTCTAGACTATTTTTGTTAACATCTCAGTTAATTAGTATTCCTCATCAACCAATACAATGGGGCAACTAATTTTACTGCTTACATATCAAAATTACTTCAAAACTACTTTATGTATGCCAAGTATGATTTACACAGTACATCATAAGATATCTTACTGAGATACAAAATGGCTTCCTTAGAGCAGTTATAATTATAGTTATGTTACATCAACAATGATCACTGTGCTACCTCAGCTTTCTAAATCTGCAGAAGTTTAACTCTTACTCCTGCAGAATGGAAACACACTTTGTTGCTATACAATCGTATTCTTTTCCTTGTAAAGTTATTGAACACTTCTTGATAGATACAGCAAAGAATTTACAAGTCTTCTGTGGTTTAATTTTCTAACACCAAGCTTAATAATTCCAAATGTACATCTTTTAGAACTTTATTTAGCCCAAACTGAGTTCATTCAAGGCAAAATCTATCTTTATTCTGGTTCCTAGCAGTCACATTACTAAAACCACTTGCATACTGTGATACTGGAAAGAGTGGCTTTTGGGGGGTTGGGGGTGGAGAGTAGATGAGTTAATAACTTACAAAACAGCTAAAGGTTTTACTTTGCCGCATTTAGAATTTAATTTTAAAAGTGCCTAAAATTATACAGCTTCAGCAGAGAAGCTCTGATGTTCCTAATAGCTTTGAAAGCTATGGTTACAAAGACCTGTCCATTTATTCCATCAACAGTTAAGCCCAGAACAAAACATCAAGCTATTATAGCAACATTTATAAAAAGAAACAACTCACAAGCAATAGTATTTAAATAAAGATTATAAGTGACTAAAATAAAAAAGCAACAACTTTGAGGGCTTGAGAAAACAAAGAAACAAAATCATCGTGCTTTTTTCTATGCTCCCATATGGTTCTAGTGTTAAAGTTTCTTATTACTAAACCACAGTCATAGCATCTTAATTTTAAAAGAGTTAGAGAAGCTACTTGAAGATAAAACACAATTTGAGAAAATTCTATATCACCCCAAGACAAATGTCTATTATTCATATAAATTCATGTTTTTTCCTAGGTACTCTAAAAGTTTATCTGAGGTACCAAGAGAGAAAAAGTTCAAAACGGCTTGCTTACAACTGCTTATCAACTGCTTCACCTGGACTTGACTAAACTATTAGTTCTGCCAGTTGGTAACTTTACAGACTTGAAACATATCATGCAATTCCACCCTAAAGCCTGATTGCACATCCACCACTAATAGTTGCTTGGGGGATGTGCAAGAAGCTGTAGGATCAGTACCATTATGTATTATTTTAAACAAAATGAAACAAGAATGTTTTGATCCATAGGAACCTGTGCCAGTATTGCCAACCCCAAGCATTTAAAAATATCTAAGTTGGGCCCCCAAAAATCACGAGACTAGCTGAAAAATCATGAGATTTCTTTTTATTCTTTTTACTGGGTTCTTTTTATTACTTCTACTTTTTGAGCCTTTGGGGTTCAAGTTTTCAAAGCTATTCTCTGCAATCAAGAGGGAGGAGGTAGAAACTTTCTTAAAAAACCAAAACTCTCACTTCCTCACATGACTCCAGGGACTGCTGCTTCAATAAATACATCGAATGCCAGGAGACTCGTGATGCAATCACAAGAATTGGCAACACTGATTATTCTCCCCTCTGTGTGCTTTTGTAACTCCTTGAAGCTCTAATGGTGGATTAATCCCAGTGCAAAGGAGCCATAAGGCCCTCACTCTGGTGATGTTTAGGGTCTTGTGCAGGCCCTCTGTGCTGTGATAAATTTCACCCTAAATGGTTCAGGTCCAGGCTACTTTAAGGACTGCCACTTTTCTTGTACTTCACTGAATCAGATATGATCAGCTAAACTGCTCAGACTAACAAACGAAAAGTTGAAAAAGGAGTGGATGTGTGGCAAGACATTTTCAATGAGGAGACCTAGAATCTGAAACTCACTCCCTTTTCTTTGTCCTTAAGACTCTGAATATGCTGTCCTGAAGGACATGCTGCAAAGCCAAATTTATTCGGTCAGGAATTCTCCAGGGAAGGCGGGTTGCACTGATGAAGGGGGGCAGTGTCAGTTTGAGTGGACTGCTAGTTTTGACTGATTAGTTTTGAGCCTTGGGTCCAATTTCTGTCTTGTAAATCTGCATATATGCCAAGGGATAAAAAAAAGTTAAAGCACCTAAGTGATTTAGGAGTCTAAGTCCCATTTTTAAAAGCGACTCCAGCAATTTGGAACTTTTGAAAATGGAACTGAGGAACTTCTGAAATATTTTCCCTATATCTATTGATGGGTGCATTTTAAATTAAATTAATAACAATAGTTAGAGTTACGGGAGGACGATATGGACCCCATAGTGTTATTAACGCATACGTAAGGTCTTCATTTTGTCTGCAGTATAAACCACTAACATTACAGCCATCATGTTAAAAATGCCTTTTCTAT